GCCTTCTTTCTGGAAACCTGCTATTAAAGCAGCCATCCCTCAGCCTGCATTTATAAGGATTGTTTCTGCTGGAGAATAGTACTTCACAGATCATTCTCTTGCATTTAATTGTTTCCAGACTGCTTCTCCAGTTTGTCACTATAAGCTTGAATTCCGATTCTCCAGTGTATGTATGCTGGGAAGCCTGGCATCTGCTATTGTAATGAGTGTGATCATATCTATTCTGTATATTAAATATCATCTAGGATATTAAAGTATATATTGAATAATACCAGATCCAAGGCTGAGCCCTGCAAAATCATGCTTGACCATTTTCTTATCTTTTGATAATGAGCCACTTGGGATCTGCTTAACTGAGTACAATTTTCAAGATTATACTCATTCTGTAGGGGTTTCATCCAGCATGGTTTGCTTCCTCCCTTTGAACTGAAATAATATTTTGCTGTGAGAAGATAATAGGCCAAGTGATTTTGGAATGAAAAAGTGCTGTCTTGGAAGAAGCCAAAGTCACCTTTGATATGCTGGTGGGATGTGCTATGTGTTGTAGTTTGCAGTGTCACACCAGAGTGCACACAAATGCCACTCACCCCTGAGGCATGCGATGGGTTCTCTGCTCACAGCGAGGTGGGGAACATGAATGGACACCAGCAGGGCACCAACAACACGTGTGCCATGGTTCCTGCTCACTGCACTGTGTGTCTGCTGGGGAATGGAGCAAAAAGCTAATGTACTACAGGGGTCCTAAGGAACTACTGTCCTGTCTGCTGTGGGAATGGTTCCTGGAGCCAGCCCTTTTTCCAGCTCTCCGAAATGCATGGTGTATATTTTACAGCTTTGTGAAGATTTGTGCACAGGGCTCTTAATGTCTGTGAAGTTGTGTGCAGTGAATCATGTCTTCTACTGGCCTAGCCTGCTGACCCTCCTTCTGGACAGTAAAAGGGAGAAATTCTCCCAGGTTTTCTCTGGAATGGAATATCCCTACTTAAAAATCTAAGAAAAAAAAAAGTGCTTAGATTTTTGGCAAAAAAAGTGCAAAAAGTTTCAAGAGTTGGAATGAAAAAATTGTACTAAGCTCACTCAGACACTGACACAGACTGTCTAAACATAATCTAAGTCCCTGGAGTCCCTGTAACTTGCAAATGAGGTAACAACTAGACAAGTCATTGTAACTCAATTTATCAGGTTTCCGAGGAGCATGTTTTGCTGGAGGACTGACACTGCAGCAATATCCAGAGTGAAACTTTTACAAGTACTACAAATGCATGTGAACACTCACTTTCCCAAACTGACCGGTGTCAGCCACCTTGTTCTACATTCTCTTTCATACTGTCTTCACCTCAGAGTCATCTGCCCTTCGTTTATCATTTTTCCCCCCTCCTTGTTTTCCATGTAGATTATCCCACCAAATGTAATTTTCACTTCAAATCAGAACAAACCAGGGCACTAACTACTCCTGTGACCTGCAACTTTCTGTATCCTGAGAATCCTTCTAGTGCTGGAACAGGAGGAGATATGAATAGGGCAGAGTTGTTTCAACCACAGAAAATGGCCAACTCATGTCTCCTGCTGCTTGTGGCAGTATTGGTAATTTAAAGTAGGGTTGAATTAAAACAACCCCAAAACTTCTAAATGGCACAAATTTTTATACTTCTTTTTTCATTAGAAATGGCTTTTAGCCCTGTATCTGAAGATAAAACATCAGAACACCTGACTTTCTCCTGGATCAGAAATTCTAAAGGGGAGAAGAGTAAGGTTGGAGTAATGTAAAGAAGTTGCTGTAGAAGTTGTCTCCTTTTGCTTGTTCCACCCTTGTTTTTGACATTTCCCCAGGCTCCCCTGCTTTTTGTTGACAGGTTCTTAGAAAATGGGTGGTGGCTTTTTCTGAGTGCAGCACCGGATGTGGTTGCATGAGAAATACACACGTGAGAGTTTTGCAGTGGATGCAAAATTGATTGGAGGGCTTTTATTTTTGATGTGGAGTGGGTAAAGCCAACAGGTGAAAAGAACATACTGTGTTTCAAAACAACTCAACAAAAATGATTAAAAAATATTTCTTGTGGGTACAGAGGGGAAAATCCCCAGATGTGCTACAAAACAAAGCTTTGTTCAGCTGATGGTTGAAATCAGTAAGCAGCAAAGACAAACTTCCAGGGCAAAATCCTGCTGCTCCAAAGGCAAAGATGGAGCAGGGAGAAGGGGAACCTGGGCATCCATGTGATGTGGACTGTTTTTGTCTGTGTTAATTTATCCTGTCTCCAGGGAAAGAGCACCGTGCTCCCCTGGGAGACAGGTCTCACATGCTGCGAGCAATGTAGGTGAGGCTGCTGCCAAGGGATGATGTGGCAAACGGGAACGAATCAAAGCAACTCTTCTTTGTGCATCTGCAATGGAGGCTGAGTCATTACCATTCATCACTAGCCCGACTGGTGTGTTAATTCTGGTGACAGTTGTTTTCGCGAGAGAGGACAGCTTTTGATGCCTTTTAATTCCTGAAAATAAAAGAAAAAAGAGCTGTCAAGGTAACAGGCATCCGGAGAGGCTGACTGAAAACAGTGGGTAAGGAAATAGCTTTAAGTCCCAGGGAAATGCAGCATAAAAGGGAGCTGCCACAATAACCAGGACAGTGTGGCTTGCTCCTTCACGTTTCTCAAGGAAGCAGTAAATGGCTAAAACTTCCCATGCCCAAGTTACAAATGAGCTCCAATTGCAGGACAATGCAGGAAAGTTACCACTGCTGTATTTTCTCTGATTCTTCCTGCTGGGCTGTCTGTCTGGTTTGAGTATTCGAATACATCTATATTTGTAGCATCACTCATCTTGAAACTTATTCTAATCAAGCCCAAAAACTTGCCTGAACAGAGCAGAAGCCTCTTCTAGCCCACCCTGGTCCTCAGACACCGACAGGCTCCACAGCACCCTGGTGCAGTTTAGCCATTGCCTTTACAATGGCTCAAGATTTCTGACAAACACTTCCTGCTGTTTCAAGGAAACCATGGGCAGTGGTGTCCATTGTCAGGGGTAGGTCTTGCTGGGAAGCTTTAAGACAAGATACACCCTGTGGCTGTCCTTCCTTCAGCACTTCTCCTTTCCCCCAGCCCCAGAAATCATTTCACATGCTGGCCCCGCCAGCCTCTGCAAGCACAGGGGTTCCCAGCCCTGACCCTGGGAGGCAGGGCCTGGAGAGGTCCCAGCCTCCTGTGCCAGCATTCCTTCCCTCCAGACTGATGCTTCTCCTCTGCAGCTTTCGTTTCTCTTACTATTCCTCTTTTCATACCTCTCTCTCTTGCTGATGCCCTCCTCTTCTCTGCTTCCCCTCATCACCCAATGACAGTGTTTCTCTCTTCTTATGACTGTCTACTCAGCACCATGGCAGGAGGACCATACTGAGGCAGAGGGATGCTTTCGTTAAGTACCATCTAATCAGAGATCGTCCTTGCCTGAAAAAATATCTTCAAATAAGCAGAAAAAGGATGAGGGAGGATGTCTAAAAAAGGAGTGACTTCCAGTAGGCTGTCCAGCGGTGCCACAAACAAGTCCTCTTCTCTTTCCTGTTGGACCAAGCTGTCATGTCCATGGGGATTTGAGCAAGTGTAATTTTAAAGCAAAGCCAAGTATGAGTAGGGCCTGTTTGGAACAGAGTTCCTTAAGGAATCTTGCTGCAGTGGCAGAGGAACACCCAGCAGGCAAACCACAATACCCCACTAAAAAACGATCTTGGGATGCTCCTGGTTTCAACCACATCCACCCAGGAAAACACAGCTTCCCTGTGTCCCACAGACAACCTGGCAAGGCAGCAACTCACAGGTTGTGCAGCCAAGAACACCTGATGTGACAGTGAGGAGGAGGCATGAGCAGGTGGGAGCAACACCACTTTCCAGGGACCCTGCACCCAAAGGAACGCTGTGCCTGAGCTGGGAAGGGTTTTTTCACCTTCCTATGATGAGCAAAGTGCTGCTATAGGATTTGCTAATGAACATGGCCTGGGTTGGGGTGAGATCAGGTGCTTCAAATCGACTTGTCCCATCTTTAGTTCAAGTTGTGCAGTGCCTTGCAGACACCCACTGGGAGAGCTTTAAAAAATCCCAACCTAATAACTAGAGAAAAGCTCATTATGTCTGTGACTCATCTGCCGGAAGCTGCAGAGAACACGGCTGCTGTGCTGGGAGTCTCGCTTCCAAGGGTGTGGTGACACATCCAATTACCAGACTGAGTAATCACTGCTTAGTTCAGGTTACTGACATTACATTCTAACTTCTGATAGCAGAGCTGTGGGGAGCTACCTGTGCTAGGCCCCACAGTGGACAGACAGATATATGAAATATCCCTGAGCGGACCGAGGAAGACAGGAGGGCTGTGCAAGGGTCAGACCTAATGGCCAAACATATTTTTGTACAAGTTTAGGTAAGTTAGTTTGTAGGTAAGGTCCTCTCATAAACTGAGGGACCTGACACAACAGAGTCAACTTGCTTTACAAAGTTCAAGAAACACAGTGACAGGACAGACCAGAGTGATGCCGAATTAGTAGTGATAGAGATACTCAAATAATGTGCCTATTGTTGGCAGACAGCAAGTTTTACTTTGGTGCTGTTCTGTTGTACACCTGATCAGGAAGGTCCTTAGGCTTGGTAGTGCACCACAGACTGTGACTCAGATGAGTGTAACTGTGAGAATGATAGCAAGGCATCTGCCCATGGGACAACTGCCGTCACCTATGGTTTTCCAGCTTGTCCACGTGTCCATTCTATGGGCGACCCCAGTGTGGGTGAGAAAGTGATGTCACTGCCACCACGCTGAAAGAAAAATTAGTTCCATGAACACATGACGGTGAGAGAGCCTGGGGTTTTCCTCATGTCACACTGTCCCTGGGGTGAAAGGGAGGAGTTGCTGTGCAGTCCGAGCAGGGTGAGTTGTTCCCCAGCTCTACCTCTGCCACCAGAAAACATTCCCATTCATATGCAAAACTTTTAACACCCCGGGCTGAAAGGGCTACCGCTGCGCAGTTATGGCACTCGGCAACAGGGCAGGATGCATTTCGAGCCTGTCCTGCCTCCTCTGCTGTCAAAATCAACTTCTCTCTCAGCAGTAAGGACACCTCACCTCAAAGCTCATCTCAAAGACTGACTGTAAAAACAAGAGGCATCATTTCTGTGAATGAGATTGTTTTCGTAAGTGCAGATGCGGAAGCTGTTACCACCAAAATATTAAGGAAACTGGTGAAAGGAAGCAGTCGAGCTGTAGCGTAGGAACAAGTTCAAGCACTCGGATCTGGCTGCGCCCTGAGCTGTGTACTTGCCACGATGCAGCATTCCCAAGAAGATTTGACTGCACCCGGAGAGGAAGATGGCTCCTTTGGGGGAGGTAAAAATCTTTTATTAAACTAATCCTTCTCCTGCTCAGACTAGAGACCGGTTACTAGCCTGGGTGGTATTTCTTGTGTAAATCTGAAGTTGTCTGTGGGCTTCAAGGTCACAGGGTGACCAGACTCTTTTTCTCCTTAGAGAATGGAGAACAAAGGGACCACAGATACAATAAAAATACTTTCACAATCGTTCAGCAGCTTCAAGGAAGTTACTGCAGAAGAAAGCTGGGGGGACACCCAGTGTATTTTCTACAGTGGCTGCACTGTGCAAAGTAGCACATTGGACATTCAACACCACAGGTGCAGCTGTTGTTAAAGTAGTAGGGGATCTTTACAGGGGCTAAAGGTGACTTGCTATTTAAATTATCTGAGCAGAATTAGCGTTCTCCTCTCCAACTGCCACAACCTGGGATACAAAGTGTCCCGGCATCATAATTTCTTATCCCTAAAGCTGCTTCTGCTGGTGCTTCATTCCTCGTTGCTTGCGTCCTCTACCATCATTCACATGTGTACTGAGTGCTATCAAGTCAAAATAGCAGAAATGCAGGTAAGAGGACCCAGAGGAGGAGGAAGAACCTGGCCCATGGTGTTCAATTTCTGCCGCTGCTCACTGCTCCCCTTTGCACTCAAGCCAGGGGGAAAACTTGCTCATGCAAATCTTCTCCCGGCCCCGAGCCTTCCACAGTTTCTAAGGGAGTTGAAGGCACAAAGAGCTGCCTGGATCCACTCCAAAGACTGTGAACCTTTAAACTCACTTTCAGCACAGCTTCAGCAAGCCTCATTTAAACAAAGCTCAGCTGCGGTTGGTATGGAAAACTTAGCAGTGAATAGTGCCAAATCAAGTTATCTGAGCCCCAGTGAAAGGCATCAGCTCAGAAAAGAAAGTGGTCTCAATGATGTTCTCTCTGTATTCAAATATATTTCTCACGTCTCTATGCCCCCACTTCTCACCCTGTATCCCAGTCTGGGCTTAGAAGGGCAATGCATTTGCAGAAAAGAGAGGTCAGTGCATTTGCATTATGGAAGGACTCTGGATAGTCCAGGAAACACCTCATGCCAGTGGGCAAATCAACTGGCATTGAAACTACCCCATTGCATTTGCTACATCCTGCATTCAGCACAGGTGGATGCTGCTTCCCAGGATAATCATCATGCTCTGACTTGATACAGACATTTGCAAGTGCTCTGAAGAGCCGGTGGATTTTTAAGCTTTGCTGTTTCTGGAACCTTTAGCCCATGTTCTTAATCAGAAATGTAGAAGGGAAGGAGAGAAATGTGGGCAGGTTAGTTGATACATATATTGCGTTATCTGAAGGGAATGATACACCACTTCAAAAATCTGTTCCAGCCTCTCAGCTAAGTTGTTTCTGGCAGGGCTGATGCAGAAACAGCTAGAGGAGGCTCTGCTTTTCAAAGGCAGGAACATTTTAAAAACCTCTCCATGACCCTTGTTGGAGCAGGAGGTTGGAATAGATGATCTTCTGAGGTCCCACCCCACCTGAGGTATCCTACGAGTCTATGTGTTAGTGACATCCTCTTCAACTCACCTACATGTAACTGGGAACACTTCTGTCCCAGCTGCTCTGTCAGACAGAGGAATTGTTGGCTCCCAAACCTGCCAGCTGGAAAGCCCAAACAACACAGGCACAGTGCTAGACTTCCCCTTCAGCCCCCTCTCCTCTCTCTTGAACGGGTTAGCAAGGAAACATTAACTTTATGGCTGCTATTTCTGGAGCGCTGTTGACCCTGGACAACCCAGCGCACTCCCTGGGGCTGGGTGGGATCTGAGCAGGGAGGAGCAGGGCCCGTTTCGGTCACAGGGCAGCCCCCACCCCGCTCATGCTGCAGCCTTAGGAGCCAGCCAAAATTTAGTTGCAGCCAAAGCTTAGTTGCTGATTTCCAGGCCAGATGGAGGCATTTGTCGGGCACTGAACTCCCAGCTCAGTGCAGACCTCAGCTCTTAGGGCATGGGCTATTTTTTATTATTTTCCACATCCAGCTTGACTTGAAAAGTGATGATGGCAAATCTCTGTCTACCTTTTTAACTCATTCAGTAAAGACAGCTATGTTTTATTTCTTCTACCACTGATCTATCCACTTTTTTTTGAGATAATTTCCCTTCTGTCCAAGAAAGCTAAGGTCTCACTATTGTTTGTGCATACAAAAATCTCATATAACTATCTACAGGCAATATTCAGACCCTCTTATCCTTTGCCAAGCAGACAACAGTCAGAAATGACTGTTTCCTTATAAAGTTTTAATCTGTTAAGCATTTTCATGGTTCTTGAGAGCAGTCCCTTGGAGAGATGTGGACACCAGCACAGAGCCCAGTGCTCCAAAACTGTTAGACCAGGGACAAATCCAAAAGTTACGTGATCTGTTTACTCATACTTTTTAATTAATATATTATATATATCAGGATCAGTTCAAGAATCTGCTGAAATCCTTTCAGGTTGCAGCATCACAAGAGGGTCTGCTTTTCTCAGATTTTTCTCTTTAATCATCAAGTCTTTCAGAGTCAAATTTCTCAAGACAAAGTCAATGCTATCCTGTCAGGATGGCTTATCTCCATTGCTCCCAGCTATGCCCATACTAAAGCCAGATGAATAGTCTCACTTCCTCAAGTAGCCTGTTTCCCACTTCTCCAGACATGGTGCCACCTGCATACTTAATCACTGTTTAAAGTTCAGGTCACTGACATAAAAATAGTTCAGTCCCATGGGGAAGAACCAATCTTTGTAGGCACTCTCTAGAAACTGGCATCCTTGATGATTTCTCAGCTGGGTTATGTATGTAAAGATCTCATGCCAAGTTTTATTTCTTACCAAAGTCCGAGTACACTATCAATACAATTATTTTCCCTAAAATCCTAATGATTGCCACTGATTGAACTCCATCTCCTTAAATTTTGCTTAAATATGACTTCTACATCAGCTATTCCTTGACAAGGCCAAGACCACTGCCAGGCTATCACATCATTAGTGACACAACATTAACTTACAGCTCTCTGGAGTTGTTCTGGTGTTTCAAGTTTTGTGAAATATCAACAAGGATTTCCAAGGATAACTCTTCTCAAAATTACAGTTTTAAATTCTCTTCTGAGAAAGATCAAGGGGGAAATATTTTCCCATTGATATAGACTGTCAGATGACACTGATATTTTTCCACATTCCCAAACCGAAACATTTGTTGAAAACTTGTGTTTTCTTCAGCATAATTAATAATTCCGCAATTTTCTTTTACTAATGCTTCAATAGACATGTCTTTTCCTTATTATACATTGAAATCACAAGTCACAGAGCTGGGTGTGACAAAATAGGCTAGAACTATCTTCACAAAAATGCAATAGGTATTCAAAGCTTCAAAATGTTCATCCTCAAACAGTCAAAGAAACTCAAAGAAACTTTGTTAGCTCTTTCCCTTGTTTTGTAATAACAGTGACTTGCGCTGACATGGTGCTCTCTCCTTTAGAGGCTTTGCAGAGATTTTGCAAGTGACTGTGCTTAGGTTCAGTGAGGCACAACTCCCTCTCCTTCGCAACGTGGCCAGTGTTGAGCAGGGCACAGCTGTAGTGTCCAAAAGTTTCAGGAAGAAATTCTTTTAGCCTTTTGAAAGCACAGGGAGTGATAGGTTTAATTTCTTTTCATCCCTACTCACTATGTTAACTCAAAGCAAGTGTCTTCAGTTACTCTTACAATTTTGTTAGGTCAAAACCCACTTTGGGGAAAATGCTATTTAATTTTTTAGTGATTCTAAGTGCCTGAGATTCTGAAGTTATATTTCATTGAAAAGAAATCCCTTCCACTAGCTTCACTTCCCTTCATCACTGCAGCCTGCAGTGATAGCGTGGATTTTCCCTGACTGTCTAAGATGAGGAGCCAAGGCCGGAGAGTGAGGGGGCTTTGAGCACAAGTCAGCTCTCTGGGCAGAGCCTGGTTTCCCTGGGAGGAGGGCTGAAGGCTTACACGGAGGCGTGATGCCACCGCACCAGCACAGCCTCTGACTGGGACTCAGCACAGCAGGAGCTCCTAGATTAAGCAGACACATCCATGAGCAGAATTTGAAAGCAGTCAGCAAACATGACCAGCATATCACATAGGATATGCTGAGTTGGAGGGGATTCATCGGGATCATCGAGTTCAACTTCTGGCCCTGTACAGGATTATCAAGAGTCATACCTTGTGCCCAAGGGTATTGTTCAAATGCTTCTTGAACTTTGGCAGGCTGGTGCTGTGACCACTTCCCCGGGGAGCCTGTCCCAGTGCCCAATCACCCTCTGGGTGAAGAACCTTTTCCTAATATCCAGCCTAAACCTCCCTTGACACATCTTCATGGAGTTTCCTTGGGTCCTGCCACTGGTCACCAGAGAGAAGAGATCAGTGCCTGCCCCTCCTCTTTCCCTCATAAGGAAGTTGTGACTGCAGTGAGATCTCCTCTGAGTCTCCTCCAGGCTGAACACACCAAGTGAAAACTGCTCCTCACATGGCTTCCCCTCAAGGCCCTTCACCATCTCCATTGCCCTCCTTTGGACACTGTCTAATGGCTTAATGTTGTTTTTATCTTGTTGCACCCCGAACTGCCCCCAGCACTGGAGGTGAGGCAGCCCCAGCTCAGAGCAGAGCAATCCCCTCCCTTGCCCGGCTGGCCATGCTGTGCCTGATGTCCCCCAGGACAGGGTTGGCCCTCCTGGCTGCCAGGGCACTGCTGACTCATAGTCAACTTGCCATTGACCAGGTCTCTTTCCACAGTGCTGCTTTTCAGCCTCGCATTCTCTAGTCTATATACACAACCAGGGCTGCCCTATCCAAGGTCCAGAATCCAGCATTTGCCCTTGTTGAACTTCTTACAGTTGGTGACTGTCCAGTCCCCTGATGTATCAGGGTCTCTGTGCAGGCCGTCTCTGCCCTTGAGGGAGTCAACAACTCTTCCCAATTTAGTGTCGTTGGCAAACTTGCTTGGTATTCCTTCGAGAATTTAGGTCTGAATATTTTGTTAGCCC